CGCGAGGTGAGTGCGCCCCAGGACCCCGAAGGCCCCCAGCTGTGCCTTCCGGGCCGAGAGCCGCAGCCCCACCCCTGGGCCCATCCATCGGCCGCTCCGGGGCCGCAGGGACCCGCCTGCAGCTCCGAGCCGGCTGCGCCCGGCCGGATTGTCTCCGCCAAAGGGAGGGGGCTCGACCAGGGCGCCCACTATCCAAGGAAGACACGTCCGGGGAACGACCTCCGCCGCCCTAGCCCTGGGGCTGCGGGACCCCAGACTCCGTCCCGCAGGTCAGGTCCTCTCCCCAGCCCCGGTAGCCGAGCCTGGCGCGCCCCTCGTGGGGGGCCCAGAGTTTTAACTCGACCGCATCCCCGCTTAGCCGGGGTCAGGCCCTGGAGGGCGGGGGAGGGGCGGCGGCTCGCCTGGGTTAGGGGTCTGGGACCACGAGGCGAGGTGGCGACGCTGCCCGCTGGGCCGCGCGTCCGCTTTGTTTGCCGCGGCTCGGCGGGAGGGGGCGAGGCCGGGCTGGGATCCTGCGGGGCGCAGCGGGCCGCGATGGGGGACTCCGGCCTGTGGGGGTGCCCAGCTCCAGGGAGTCCTGGGGCGCACGTTTGGGAGGGCAGGTGTGCATGGCGCCCCTCCTCACATCCCTGTCAGCTGCTAGACTGGTGGGTGAGACCCTATCGCAGGGCTCGCCCCTCCGCGTCGGTCCCAGGCAAGGTGGTGGCTGGTGACCAGAGGAAAACTCTAGGAAAACCCCGTCTTCACTCGGCAGCCTTTTCTGGAGGGTTTGCGCGGTGCCCATGGCCTAGGAACTTGGACTTCAACTGCCCGGTTCCTCCACCGCTGGCCAGGCTCCATCCCCGAGCCAACAGATGCTGAGGAACAGACCAACCTGCCACTCCCTGGGCACATGCGGGCCTGCTGGCCCCCCACTGGCCCCCAGCCACACACTACGGCCTCCTCCAGAGCCCAGGGCTGGCCTTGCAGATGTGTTGGGGAGCAGAGTTCGGCCCTGAGCTGGGTGTCTGGCCTGGGGCGCTGTTAGCCTGGAAGACAGCAGATACAGCAGGGACAGCTGAAGGGGGCCTTGTCGACTCCCTCTGAGTACCCCTGACACACCCAGGGCTCAGTGGGCTTGGGTTTCTTTGCTTTGTCATTTGTGAAGGGACTCAGACCTCCCAGGAGCCACCCTGTGGAGATGGGGAGGGGGTGCTCTGGAGAGCAAGGGCTTGGGGAGCACAAAGATGTCAAAGCGACCTACCCCCGCCCCACCTAGCTGTAGGGCATGAGAGCCAGAGGGAGAGAAGCAAGACCAGGCGTTTGGGAGAGGAGCAGGGAGCAGTCAGGGGCTACAGAGAGGCCACAAGTTCTGAGTCAGTCCCTCCCGAATGGGGACTTGGGACCCTGCAGGGACAGAGGCCCTGTCCTCAGAGGGCTCCCACTCCTGGCGCCCCTCCATAAGTGGGTCTCATGGGGTCATGTGTGGGTGCTGGCAGCCGGGTGACGATGACATGAGCTCTCACTTTTGAACCCTTTATTTGAAGGGTGTCGACTGTAAATTAAATATACAGAAATAAGACAGTGGTCTAATGAAGCCCCAAGGGCCACTCCCCGTCCCAAGCCCCTACCTCAACCACTGCCAACCTCACTTCCAAATCCAAACATATTATCTCACCCTTAAATATTTCAGAAATTGTCTCTGAGAGGTAAGGACTTTATAAAGCCATTTTCACACCTAAAAAAATAAACAATAATTTCTTAATATCTACTATATCCTAACTAGTATCTTGCTATTTTATCTGCTCTGCCTGTCAGCCGGCACCCCAAAGCAGTTTCTGGTCTGATTCAGGAAGGGAGGCCCAGACAAAATTAGAAAGCAGGGTGTTGAAAGTCACACCGGGCAGGAGGGGGTAGAATGCCAACGTCAGAGGTGGGGGGGGATGTGGGGGTCCTCTCTTTAAGGACGTCAACTGGTGTCTTTGGAAAATCAGGGTTCTACTTCACCCCTACTGTGAAATCTCAGGTGCCTTGGGGAGAGTGGTGAGGGGCCTGGGTCTAGTGGTGAGGCAGTTGAGGGTCTAGACTGGCCACCCACCCAGCGTCCTTGGTTTACTGGGTGTGTGTGGCGGGGGGCTGCTCACAGCGATAAAGGTGCTGGGGAAACAGGGTATGGGTGCCCCCACCTCTGCAACTATCTGCCCCTCCCCACAGCCACTTTTTTTATAGTATTTGCTCATTCATTCATTCACTTCATTCATTCATCGTTCATGCCTGCTGCCTTCGTTCCCTGGACATGTGTCTGCCCCCTCACTGCTCTGGGCAGGCCCTGACACAAATATACTGGAAAATAGGTCAGCTGATTGGCACAGCTCAGCCCAGTGGACCTGTAGCTCTCCTGCCAGCAGCCCAGGGGAGGCGCAGCACCGTGGTACCTCAACTTGTCTCTATGTTGGTGTGCTGGCATCCGTGCCCACCCACAGGTCAGGGGCTGTGCTGGGGCTAAAAACCAGGGCACCGCTGAGACCCTGGGCCCTACACCCCGACCTGGGCAGCCCAGGAGGGAGCTCATGGCTGCACCAAGGAAGGCGACCACACTGCCATTCACCTGATACCTGTGCCCTCGATCTCTGTGCTCCCTGCCCCAGGAGGAGCTGTGGTCTTACCTGTGGAGAGCCCCTTCCTCTTCCTACAGGCGCCTGTCGAGAGGGCTTGGGAGTCAGGCAGGCTTGGGCGATTCCTGACGCAGCCGCTTGTTAACTGCCCCAGCCCCTGTCTACCCACCTACTGCAGGCCAGGACCTCGCCTGGACCTGAGAGTACAGTGAGGAACAAGGGGTTTGGGGCTGCTGCCTGCAGCCCACATTGCTCATGCTTAATCCAGCCAGCAACCTACTGTGATAGTGTGTGCTCTGCCTGACTCTCCAGCCAAGAACAACTTTTGCGTATTTGTTTCCACTAAGGTTTTTTTGTTTTTGAGATATAATTCACATACTATACAATTCACCCCTTAAAAGTGTACAATTCAGGGGCATTTAGTACGTTCACAAAGTTGCATAACCATAACCTCTATCTAGTTCCAGAACATTTTCATCACCCCAAAAAGAAACCCCATATCAGCAGTCACTCCCCATTCTCCCCTCCCCCTAGTCCCTGGAAACCACTTATCTACTTTCTCTATGGATTTGCCTATTCTGACATTTCATGTAAGTGGAATCATGCAATATGTGGTTTATTTCACTCAGCATAATGTTTTCAAGGTTCATCCATGATGCAGCATGTATGAAAACTTCATTCCTTTTTATGTCTGAATAATATTCCATTGTATGGATGGACCATATTTTATCCATTCACCAGTTGGTGGTCATTTGGGTTGCTTTCATTTTTTGACTGTTATGAATAATGCTACTATGGAATGCATGCACACATTTTTGTGTGGACCTGTTTTCATTTCTCTTGAGTATACACCTAGGGATGGCATTGCTGGATCGTATGGTAGTTCTATATGTACCTTTTTGAGCAACCCCCAAACTGTCTTCCCAGTGGCTGACCATTTTCTGTGCCAAGACCACCCTTGCCCCTTCCTGGGGCCCTGGATGTGCCATCTGCCCCTCACGTGTGGACTTTCAGCTCCCTATTTCAATCATGTTCTTCCAGCCACAAGGCGGGTGTCTCTGACGGCAAAGTTGGAATCTCCCAGTCCCTCACTTGCTCCCAGAGCGCCAGGCCAGAGCACCAAATCCTACAGTGTGTTGCCAAACCATGGCCAGCAGGCATCCTCATGGCCTTCCTCAGCCCAGGCTTCCCAGAACAGAGCCCCTAGGTCAGTCTGGGTAGGGCAGGTGCCATGTTGAAGAACTCCATTTTGCCACGCTCTGTGCCTCAGTTTCCCCACCCATACCCCCTCAGGACTGTAGGTATGGATGCCCACCAGGCAGTGGCTGTGTCTTCACTGCCCTGCTCAGTCCTGGACCTGGCAGGTCTGTGGCCAAGCCCAGCTGGCCGCCTCATGAGGGCTTCCTTCTCTCCCCATGGGCAGTTCAACCCTTGGGTAGCTGTGTGAGGGCCCAGAGCTGTGGTGAGGACTCCCACCCCGGCCTGACGGTGAGGTCACTGTTCACTCTGGCTCCCCGGGGTCAGCATCACGCCTCTCATGCCCTCTGGGCAGGAAGGTGTCCTTGTTGGTGGGTGTAACTCTACCCTCCGACCACTGCTTGAAACCTCACTCCAAATGCCGGCGGCAAAGTGGAAACAGAATACCCTGCCCTTTCACCTACCCTCATCCAGCCTGCTGCCTGGCCTAGGACAAACCACCAATGACACAGCCACCATGGACGGGGGCAGGCCGTGCACCACACAAGAATCCCCTCCCTGACAGGGACCCCAGGGAGAGCTGACGCCCCGGCTCCGCAGGGGGAGGCATGTGTTGGTTCAAGGACCCTCCAGACCACAGGCTCCACTGGTGCCCAGGAAGACAGCATTGTCTCAGACGGCAGCTGTCTCCGGGCCCCTCAGCAGCTTTTGGCACTGAAGGCCAGGCTGCTAAAATTACCCCCACTGCCTGGGCCACTGGCTCATACACATGCACATCACACACTCGTACCCCATGGAGAGGTCACATGTGGCTGCCCCCACCTCCTGGCATCGAAGGCCCTGTGGCGGGTCTGGGAAGGGTGAGATGGAAGGTCCTCACAGCAGAGAAAGCAGAGTCCTGTCCTCTGCCTGGCCTGCCCCATTGGGAGTCTGACTGGGACCCACTGGTTCTTCATCACTTTCTCTGAGCACCTGCTTAGGTGTGGGGGACAGGGTAATGCAAACGGGCCAGGGAAGGCCCTAGTGAGGTGCATTTGAGCCTGTGGGAATGGTCCAGGGAGAAGGGACAGCCAGGGCAGAGGGGCTGCTGGGGTCCTGATGGTGCGTGGTCCAGTGTGGTGGCAGCCAAGGTGTGAGAAGTGGAGGAAGAGGCAATAGGATTTGTGAGGAAAACAGGGTCCAAGGTGACCGAAGCGTATGTGGAGTTGATGTTCCTGGCAGGGGCCACAGGCGGGGCAGGCTGGGTGGGCCCTGCACCCTCAGATGTGGAGCTTGGTGGAGTGTGAGGTAGAGGAAGGCTTCCTCCCTCTCACTATTTTTGAAAAAATTCACCCAATAGTTAATCCTGGTGGGTGGGGGAAGGCAGTGACTGGGCCCTGCTGCTTTCTACCTCTTTTGTTTTGTAACTGTCTCTACAAGAAGAATGTGTTATTTTGAATTCAAATGCAAAAATAAAGGTTTTTAAGAGGAAAAGTAAGTCTGCAGGAGGAGGAGGCTTTTCAACCTCAGGAAAGAGCAGGGCCATTCTGGACTAAAGGAGACCAGAGTTACCCACAACTGGTCCTGATAGGCAGTGCTGATGTCCGACTCTCAATGTCCCCTTCCTTGTCCACAGCAAGGCTACCACCCGACCAGGAAGGCAGCCCGGTCTCCTTGTCTGGGGTCCTGGCATGAGGCCATGTGCTGGCCACCCCTAGGCACTGCCCAGAACCCTCAAAAGAGCCAAGGTCTAAAGTCCTTCCCCTGCCTCCTGGGTGGATGTGGTGTGGACACTAGTGTCCATCTGAGGTAACACTCTGTATCTTTGGTTTCAGAGCTCGTTAAGGAGGTTGAGGTGCCCCAGGCTGCCCTGGGTGTCCCAGCCCACGGCACAGGGGGTGGCTGCCACACACCTGTGGCTGAGGAGGAGGTGGGCGTCCCCATACCAGCACCGGGGCTCCTGCAGGTCACGGAGCGAAGGCGTAAGTATGGCCAACCTGCCCAGCATGTCCCTGGGGTCCCCACGAGCTCACTCAGGACCTGAGTCCACCTCAAACCCAAACGCCCCCCTCCTAGGGTGTGGAGGGGCAGGAGGAGTCGAATTTGAGAAGGAGTGAGAACTGGGTCCCTCTGGGCCTCAGCTGCACCATCTGTGAAATGGAGGCCCCAGAGGCCTTGAGTGCTGGGAGCGCATGCCCAGCCAGTGGGCCTCACGGGAAGAAAGGTGACCACACTGAAACCCCCTGGTACCCCCAGAGCCCCTAAGCAGTGTCTCCTCTCTGGAGGTGCACTTCGACCTCCTGGATCTCACGGAGCTGACGGACATGTCGGACCAGGAGCTGGCCGAGGTCTTCGCCGACTCGGACGACGAGAACCTTGCCAACGACTCCCCAGCAGGTGGGGGCCATGGGGAGTTGGGGAGCTGTGGGGGTGTTGGAGCTATGGGAGTATTGGGGGGCCATGGGGATGTCAGGAGCTGTTGGGTGTGTTGGGGGAGCTGTAAGGGGTGTTGGGCCATGGGGGTGTCACGGAGCCATGGGGTGTTGGGAGTGTCAGCAACAGTGGGATGTCAGGGGTCTGCGGGGTTATCAGGGACCATGGGGGTGTCAGGGGGCCATAGGGTGTTGGGTGTCAACAGCTAGGCCAGCTGGGAAATCCTGAGGACCAGAGATGGTAGCTCTGGTCACTGTTCCTAAACACTGCTCCCCCCAAATCCCTATTTTTGAAAATAATTTTACCTCAAATGTGTATTTTAACATTTGTCACCATGTCATTCGTTTTTGCATTCCACACATCAATGGGGACCAACTTTAAGGAATGTCCCACTGTCACACCACCCTCCCTCAGTTCATTTCTAAAAAGCAACAAAGGCATTTCCACCAGCCTCAGGCAGCTTGAGCTGTGTGTCGGCTGCATGTATCCCGGCCCCGTTGGTCTGGCCAGAGGGAATGGGGAGCTCAGGCCACAACCCACCACTCTCAGCCCCCTTCAGCTCCAGCACCCCCAATCTCACCCCAGCCCTCATCCTCACCCTCAGCCACCGGCCCAGCAGAGCCTGTGCCTTGGGGAAAGGACTAACCACAAACAGGTCTCCCTCACACACACATAAATACATACACATATGGGTCTCTCTCTCACACATCCATTGCCCTCTTAGTGAGGGCCCAGCCAGCTGCACTGAACCCTGCTCCCCATGTCCCCACCAGGCCTGCACCCACTGCCCCGCGCCGGCTGCCTCCGCTCCCCATCCTGGACCCGGGCGAGGGCCGAACAGAACCATGAGAAGTCACCCATCGGCGACCCAGAGCGGCCAGCTGCCACTGCCACAAGCACTTTCCTCACCGTGGACAGGCCCAAGGAAGACTAGGCCACCTTGCCTGCCCTGAGGTTCGAGAGAGCTGAGGAAACACCCTGGCCAGACAGGAGACGCGGACTCCGGCTCCTGTGCCCTCCCCCTCAGCCCAGCTGGTCCCCTGGGTCTCCAAAGCACAAGCCCAGCCCAGTGGCCTTACTCAGCTCCAACCTGGGCCTGGTTCTGCCAGCCTGCACCCATGGTTCAGTCCTCAGCCCCCAGCTCTGGAGAAACCCCGATTCAGGGGCACAGAATGACCAGGGAGAATGGGCAGTAGGGCTGGGGTCAGTGGCTGTCACCTGGCCAGCCTCTGGTAAGTTCTGTCTGCAGGACAGAACTCTTAAATCTGTCTGTGATTCCTGAGTGGGTGGGAGTGAGGGCCTGAGCCGGGAGAGCCTCTCAGAGACTCCTGAGGGGTCCCAGGTCTGTGACTTACCAAGACATGTTGTTTCCAACCATGTGTTGGGGGATCCTGAGAACTCCCACCTTCCACTCATCCCTTTCACACTGCCCAGGGAGCCACTGAGGAAGGCCACCAAATCTGTCTGCCCCCTCCCCTCCCTGGGCCACCTCTGTGACCTGCCCAGAAGGCTGTCTCCACACAGCTCAGAACACCAAATAACGCCACAACTGCCTCGGAGCCGTGGCCCCCACCCTGACGGCTGGGCGGGGAGAAGGGGCTGGCAGGTCACCTCCCACACTTGGCCCGTGGAGGGGTGGGGGGGCACATGCTTGCTGGCTGTACACCACCCATCACACGCACACACCTGCATGCACACTGTAGGTCTGTCCTCAGCCGGCATCCTGGCCTGGGGAAGGCCAACAGGACCCCACCCTGATTCAGGGGCCTGGCTGCAGTGTGTTAAGTGCTGAGGAGCACAGATCAGGCTCCTGGTTAAAGGGTAGTTAAAATAAGTGTGGGCTTGCTGTCTGCCCTCACCAAGCTGCCCTACCCACCCCCATCTAAACAGCTTCAGATGAGGGTGGCGGCTCTCTGGGAGATGCCGACGCTGCCTGCCCACTATGCCCTGGGGAGTCCAAACCAGCCGTCTGCAGCTGCAGGGCCAGCTTCACACTCTCCTGAAGGCGCAACCACCCTCGTTCCTTCCAGGCAGCCACGATCAGCTTTTTCTTTCCTTAGAGGTGAGGGTAGATGCAGCTGTCAGAAAGGCCAAGGAGGCTGCCCTCCTGGTCCCTGGCAGGGCCTGGTGATGTAACCACCTCACCTCCACCCACGGCTGCCCCCTCCCCACTTTCATCATTCCTGCCACAGCTTCTGCCATCATTCACTCATGTGGGATTAAAGCATCACCCTGTCCACAGCGCCTGTTTCCTCCTCTCTGACACTAAGGGGTACATGGAGAGCAAAAGGGAGGCATTCTGACAGGGAGGGGAGTGGGCCATTGACTCAGCACCTTGCCTCCTCAGGCCCTTCTCAGACTGGGGAAGCCCCAGGGGACGCCACACTCAAGCTGCACTGATCCAGGTCATGTTTTGGGGACAAGCGTCCTGGATTTCGAGCACCCAGGTGCCGTGATGACACCAGTCCTGCCCCACACAAGCCTGGCCAGTCATTTCTTGGCATGCTGCTCTCCTCAACACGGCCAAGTCCCCAGGAGCCAAGAGGAGAGGCCTGGACTGACTCCAAGAGAAAAGTCCTGGGCAGGTAGTGCCAAGTGAGTTCTGGAAGGGCCAGAGCTTTACCACTCAGCTGCATTACCCCCACCTCGCCTCACTGAGCAGGAAGGCACCGACCTGGAACTATAGAGCACAGGGTGCAGGCCAGCTACCCTGGTCCCATCTCTGAAGGGTCCTCTTCCACCTCACCCTGAGAGTCATGCCGCACCTGGGCAGATGGACACACAGCCACGCTGCTGTCCAGAGGGCAGGGCTGTTCCCAGTTGCAGTGCGACTCTGGTAAGGAGTAACAGGCACAGGTGTAACGCTGAGCCAACTTGGCTGCTCAGCTACAAAGAGCAACCTGTGAAGCACACATGTGCACGGAGTGGGAGGAAGATGCCACCGCTGGACACAGGGTCAAGGAGGGGCCAGAGGGGTACACAACCCCCGGCCGTAGAGCCAGCAAAAGCTGATGCTGGTTGGCCTTCTTTCTTCTCTGGCACTGTGCTGCCCCCTCAGGCAGAGATGCGAGGTCTCAGGCAGGGACATGTGACAGGGAGGCTGAGGGGAGGGGGAAGAGTCACTCTGCTGGGGGCACCCTTTGTAGCACACCTGGGGCAGCACCCCCAAAAAGGCCAAGGAGGGGATGACAGTGTGACCAGGGGGCACTACACATAGGCTAACCAAAGGTGCTCTCGGGGATGAGGACTGTAGGTCTGCACCCGGAAAAGGTATCCCCATTACTGAAACCCAAAGGGCACAACCCCCCACCCCCACCCCCGCCCCCCGCACTGGGGAGACTCCCAAGCATGTGAGGCTCCTGGTGGCCTTGCTCTGTGACACTGGGCTGAAGCCCCTTGCTGCCCTCTTCCTACATGCCAGCAAACTGAGCAGATGTGTGTTGAACCACACGTGTCACCAGTCTCCAGGGAAGCCAGAGGCCCCTTGCTTGGGCACCTGCTCCTGGAGACAAATCCAGGTTCCAGACCTGCCTGAAAAGGGTGCAGTATGCACACAAGGTGAGGGAGCCCCTCACACCATCAAAGGGAACCCCGAGACAGGATACCAGTAGGACCCCCAGTGCTCAGCTGGCCTGGGTTTGGTGGAGCCAATAACATACATTTCATAAACAGCAGATGTTAAAATTGTCCCAAGTTGGAAACTGTATTTTTGAGGCTCTGAGGCAAATGTGACAAATGATTTAGAAAATGTAAAGCAACATTCCCAGTGTCTGATCTCAGGGCCCCAGGAGGAGCCTAAGAACCAGGACAGAACCAGCAGGATGGTGAATATGAACATGTCTGAGGGAGTGAGAGCTGGCTGTGAGTTGGGTGAGCGGTGGGTGTGAGCTGGGTGATGGTGGTTGTGAGCTAAGTGAGCAGTGGGTGTGAGCTGGGTGAGCGGTGGGTGTGCGTGGAGCAGCCCCCTATCCCCTACATCTCAGCCCCTGGCCCAAGGACGCCCCATAGCATAGCCAGGGGCCATGGCTGTCTGGGTGACTGGGCACCACCCATCAAAGGCAGTGGTGATGCACTAACCTCTCCCACTGTGCAGGGACGCCTCACTCTAACAGGAGTACCTGCAGGCAGCCTCCCCATCACACACAGACAGCAGCTCCCAGCACACTCCAACTAGAAGGCCTACACCTCCGCACCACAAAAGACCTAGGGTGCACTGGCTCAACAGGCCTCCAAGAGGGCAGTGAAGGGGAGCTGGACATACGGGGCAGGGCTGCCTGGCCCTTACTGAGCACGAAGACCCTGCCCCTCACAGCCCTCCAGATTGTCCTGGGCAGTCGCTGGAAGCCAAGGGTTCTGGCTCAGCCAAGGCCCCTGATTCTAACAGAAAGTGGTTGCAGGGAACGAGTGCATACTGACAGTCCCTGCTCAGGAGAATGGCCAGGTTCTCCTGAGGCACTCACACCACCCTCACTCAGGACGGTGATGCCGTATGCCCAGATGTGGTGCTCAGGTATGCGTGTGGAAGGGAGCAGGCCCCAAGTGGCTGGGCCGGCTGCCGGTCTTCCCAAAGCATGCAGTCCACGCATCTGCTTCTCTGAGCAAATGGCTAGTTTAAAATCTGCCACTTTCCTTCATGGCTAGTTTCCCTTCCCTTTTCTCAATTACACCACCTCACCAAACCCTGAAGGTTTCTGCTGGTCTAAAGACTGCTCTCCACAGGGCAATTCCACAATTTCCCTATGCATGCTTCTCCATGAGGTGTTCCTAAGTGTGAAGTCCTATCCCACTCAACATCATTCATGTGGATGACTAGGGTCTCCAGGAAGCTAAGCCTGCCCAAGGTAGGCCACATGGATATGTCCATCCACAGGCCAAGACCCTTGGTCCCTACCACGCCCTCCCCCAGCCGCACTCCCCTTAGGACAGATCAGGAACTCGGAGCCCCCCTTATACTGGGCTCTGGTCCCCATGGAGAGCACCTTTTGGGAATGGGGATCCCCGCAGGCTGAGTGCCTCATCAGACATGCTATATGCAATTATCACAAGTTTAATTTGTTTCAGTGGCTATGGCCTTGCACAGGCCATTTGGGGGTGCGACAGAGACACAGGGGTTATGCGGGGCTCTCCTGCACCTGGCCCTCCACCTGCTCCTCTGTCCGCTCCTGGTTCCAGCCTTTTAGCCCCTCGGGGAGGGACGTGTCCTCCTCCAGGCTGCCAGTGCCTTCCACAAACTCCTCGTAGGTGGACTTCTCTGCAAAGGGCCGGGGACCCAGCAGCTCGATCATGTCGGCCTTCTCTAGGACCTCCTTCTCCAGGAGCCGCTGCCCCACCTGGAACCACATGCGTCAGGCTGCTTCCTAGGCTCTCCCAACTGCCCACGGACCCAGCCCTAACCCAAGAAGTCCACAAGGGTGGATGTGGTGGGCTGACCTGACCCACTGCCTGTGACCTATGACCTGACCCATAATCTGTCCCACAACCTGACCGTGACCCAACCCATGACCTATCTATGACCTGCGACCTGTGCTGTGAACTGACCCACAAGCTGGTGTTGGCGCCAGCCCACTTGCCTTTTCCACTTGCTCCCGGGAGCACGTCAGCAGCTCCAGGGTCCGTGCGTAAGCGGCGCTGATGAGGCACCGCACCTCCTCGTCAATGAGCTGGGCTGTGGCCTCGCTGTATGGTTTCTCCACCAATGCCTCACCCTGCCGTGGGAGGTCAAAGGACACCTGGCCCAGCTTCTCACTCATCCCAAACTGGACAATCTGGAAGCACCAGAGAGCCGGGTGACCTGTGGCCTGGACCACACACCTGTGTTGCCCACCCACACCTGTGACACCTCCACCTGAGAGGACATCCACATCCCACACCTGAGATGATGCCCACATTTGTGATGCCTGCCCTCACCTGTGACGCCTGCACCTGTGACGCCTG